CGCTTATATCCCCACCCCGCTTATATCCCCACTTTTGGGCTGAACGAAAGGGGGGATATAAACGGGGTATGAGTGTACATTGTTAATGATTCATTCCCTGGTAATTATCGGTATAGCTGAGAAGAATAGTCGCCTCTTGTCCCGCGATTATTCGAGTGGCACATTACGATAATTAATTGTTATGTAGATGCGCATTATTATGGTTTATATTCATTGTACCCCAGACGGGAGATTATCCCTCGATAATAACCGACGATACACTCGAGAGCGATTACTTATCGTCATTTTACGGTGAAATAGTCCGTAAGTGAAAAGCCTTGACATTGACAAGTTCACTAACTGTACCCTAGACATTTAACTTGAATAGGACGCAGCCACGCTCCGTCGAGACTAGTTAAATCCCAAGTGTCGATTACCTTCTGCTCTCCCGCAGTAGTCGGCACGACACCACCCTTTGGGTTGCATTACCCTTCCTACATACCGGGGAAGTGTGGCACCTTCTTACATAGAAGTAATTCACCTCTTTTTGCCTTCCTGAGAGTGCTACCCTCCTTTGCAAGAGTCGTTACCACTGTACCTTCTGCTGTGTGTAGGATGTTGTAACTTTTAAATACTTTAGTAGTGGTGCCACAGCATAGAAAACGAGACTGCTGTGGAAAACCAAGCGCTCGGTTATGATTACAGGATATATTCACTCTTGCACAGAAGATCTTGAAAAGTGGCTCCAGAAAGCGACGCCATTTTCACACATCATCAAAAAGGTCCATAATGGGTAGGCGTTTTATTATTCCCTTTTTTCTTCTTCTGAACCTATATCCACAGATTAAATCTGGGTTTATAGATACGGCCACGTTCACTTTTTATCACAAGACGATGCCGGCGAATTTTTTCATTTATATCGAGACACAACGATGGACGGCCCTTTGGGAATTGAAATGATCCGCGCAAAAGAATCTTATTATTATTATTTCAAGTCGGACAAGAAAGTTGTATATTTCAAAGTGAGTCTTATGTGGAATGAGGATCGAAGCCAGCCTACAACGCCCCAAGCAATCAATAACCAGCAAGGCGGCAAGGTCGATGTTATGACAAAGTCGATACAGCCCCACAGCAAGACGAACAGTTTCCCGAATCCAAACTCAGTACGACCACGCAACAAACCGGTCAAGAACATGTCAACTGTGGCGATAATGAAAGGTTTGTATTCCTACAGATTAGAAGGAGAGCAGATTCCGTACTTACATTTAGTACTCGTCTCCCTCTCCCTCTCCCTCTCTCTTTTTTAAAAAAAGCGGTTTCATGCACGTTGTCATACAAGCTCCAGGCATCGAGTTAAAAAAAGGCTTGACAACCACATCATAATACATATACAAGGCAAATTGAAAGAAATTAATGTACTGGGAAGACTGGTTGTGAACCATCTTTTATATCCTGACAATAATTCAGCTGATGTGAGATTACCACGAAGGTAAGTTGCAAAATGTTAAAAGAGGGCAATTTTCAGTTACCGCAATGATCTTAAGAGCAAATTTTTTGGTAGAATTGATGTGGCAGCCAAAGTCAAGGTGGAAATTGCTCTTGGAAGAATCACATTTTCTATCAGAACTGAAGTTGTCCAAAAGCGAGCTTTAATTATTGGTGTGTGTGATGTCTCGGGTGCTGTGTTGTAAACATCATTTGGCAAAAGAAAATACCTTGATATAGTGTTTGATGATGGCATCAGTTTGTATACCATACTTGTATCTTGGCGGCATAAACTATGCGTTTCTCTCTTGCATTTCCTATACTTATATCTGTTTCATGTGGTTATGCCTTTGTTTACATTTATTGCAGTTTGCATGTTGCCAATACGTTTTCCACCTTTTTGAATGTGAGTCATGTCATAATTTATACCTCCAATACCTGCAGCTCTTGTCCCTACCATGACATGGCCCGCTGACAACAACTGCCACCAGCAAAAAAAAAACCACCTTTTCTCAGATAAGAATTTATGCGTTCTATATAACGACTCTTTTATTCCTCCATTTTTCTTTTCTTTCTCGGTTATTGAAAAGGGTTCTGCCAATGTTCGTTTAATATTAAGAGCTTTTTCTATTCTTTCCTCTTGGTAAACTTCATAAGTTATCTGTTCTTGATCCAGATATTCTTTGATAGCCTGTGTGCTTTTTAGTTTGAAAATGTAAGGAGCGATCTTTTCACCCTGTTCTTTTTTGAGAATTGAAAACGCAGAGTACTATAATCTTTCGGCTCCATAGTAGATCAGACATATTGGTTCATTGCTCATCATTAAGTTGATGGATTACTCATGTGAGGTTGGGACAGTTACTAATTGCTACGGTCGGATGGTCTGGGGTTTGGGAGAGCGGTTAAATCTTTCGCGTAGGGGAGTGTACTTTGAACGATTTCAAGGAGCAAATATCATTAGTTTACGTACATTATTGAACTCTCGCTCCTTATACCGCGATAGCGACGCGTGGAAACAAGCACGTCGAAAGAGCTACCGTCCACTTACGAGAGTGTGCTACGATCGAAACAAAAACGTTCTAGTGTCGCAGATTTTTCCACTTAAATCATAGTAGCAGCAAAACGTAGTGTATGTACCCGATTAATTTTACGGAGGATTATTTTGATGGGTACTGTATTCAGTGGTCTACGTTAATGTGTTGTTTTTTGTGTTTTCGTTATCTATTTACAGAACATCTGGAAACGTGCCGAGTAAGCATGCTGGTTCAAAGAATGATGCCACCATTTACTTCTAACACTTCTCAAACAGTTAATTTGACGCGCACAAATCGAAAAATCAACTCCACACGTTTTGAATTAGTTACAATGGCTTCCCTCAGTATTGTTATGGGGATATCGTAAAAATTACTGTTTCACTCGCAAGTCCTTTACGCATAGAATTCTAATTACTTTCTGCACTAGATTATAAAACGAAGGTTGTAGATAATCCTGTCGCGCGATTGGCTAAAAAGTCTCGTTCATTTCAGTGTCCCGTGTTACATAAATTTGGGTTAATCCTTCCCATGCCACAGAACGCAGAATCGACAACAACTGCAAATGCTATACCTAACGAACATAATGATCCCGGACTGACACAAGGTCCTTTCTGGGCTGTATTAAAAGTGCGTTCACTGGGTTCGCTTATCCGAACGTAAGGCTCGTGCTTACGTTTTTATGTTTACAGAAGCTATCGATAGACGACTTTAAAAACACTGGACAAATTCCGTGTGCACGCAACAGCATTCTTTCGGGAATAGGCGGCGGAGCACTTTTCGGTATAATGCGTTTACTCCACTCAGGTGAGTCTCCAACCGCTCAACTACACGTACTTGGTAATATTGCTGTGCATAGTATCCAGCTAACGTTATGATCCGAACTGTGAAGGTAATGTTGCATTCGCGACGCAGACGGCTCTCGGGTCATGTTGTCTAATTGGGGTTGGAGCATGGTGATGATGCGTTTTGTTTTTTTGTTTGTTTTTTTTTTTTTTTTTTTGCGAATATATTAATATAAGCAAACTTTAATCGGCTTAATGGTTGAACTGATTTGAATGTACTGGATAGGGAACTCTGTCGATGGCAACGGATGAAAGAAAAAAATAAGATGAAGGAAATTGTAATAGCTACTAATGAAGCTAGAAAGCAAAAATTGAGAAGAATCGCTTTGGAAAATGAGCAAGTTGATCATAACGAAGCCTGATCAGCGAATATGTCGATTAGAAAAAAAATACACATCAAGTTTATGAAGTGTCAACGTATCACATGTCACGATTAGCATGATAATAATTAGTATTTATCATGTAACATTGACCAAAAGTCAAGGCTAAAAAAGTTCTACAAATCGAAGTACAATATTGGCTCTCGTTATTTTATTATTCTCGTTGCGCTTGAAGTGATGATTTCAACCAAACATCGTTTGCCTTTCGGTCTGCAATTTCTCTCAGATGCGTATACTCGATCTTTATGAATTTCGCGTGATCGGCGCATTTTCACTATCCAATCAAAAGTTTTTTCAACAACATAAAGGGCAAATCACATCTCAAGATTTTTCCCTCCCCTCTCAATCTCTCATTTTTCACAGGTATGACTGAACGTACAGTAAAGTAACTGTAAATAGAAACAACTATAATAAAGAACTGGCAATATGTCTAGTTAAAGTAATAGAAAATGAGAGCCAAGTGGAAGAAAAAAAGAACCAGAAGACTTAAACGCAAGAGAAGAAAGATGCGCGCTAGGTCAAAGGTAAGTACAAGTGAATGCAACTGAACCTCTTTTTCATGAGAGATTACGCTTTAATAAACTCTTGCTGACTGTATGATTTTGTTCTACACAGTAAAACCCTCACCAAGTGCTTTCATCCTCCACGAGAATGGTCTATATTGATTTAACTCTGGGCATTCATTTTAAACAAGTCCCGGATCTTGCGATTTTGTAAAAAGAAAGCACAGTCAACTGTTATGCTGCTCAGAGCATGAACTTAATAAAGAATGTTAAATATAATGCGATTATTTTGTTTGATGGTATGCATGTCAAAGTTACAATTGCGTATTTACATTGACGAGTTTTAGTGACGTTGTCAGATAAAACAAACTACGATACATTTTCACATTTTATACATCGAGTCGATTCTCCTATTGTAATCATATTATCTTATAGTAAGCAGTACGACTTCATTCTTCTCCTATTTTAACTATCCACAATTTCTTCATATTTTCTCGTCTCTCCACTCCCTGCTCGCTGATTCGTAAGTTCTTTGACCAAATTTTGTAAAAAGACTTTTTTCTGTGGTAAATTGTACGAGGCATTTTGCGCAAGAGCATTAGCGGCAGATGCTAGTGTCCCAGATACTGACGTAGCCACATCAAGAACAGCTTTTGGAACTTCGATATGCTTGGAATAATCTCCCCCTTCTATTTCCATCCTCAACTCTTTCTTCTGGTCATCGGGCACATATGCCATTAAAGACCTCTGCGACGAATAAAGCCCAGACCAATCAATTGATTTTTGAACATACGGTTTAGGGTTGAGATCGACGGGAACCAAATGCGCATCATGTTGCTCTTCTTCTATCTTGGCATCCTCGCCCTTTCGCGAACGCTGTTCATATGGAGCTTGGGCGGCTCTTCCCCAACGCATCCCTCCCTCACGCATAGTCCCTCCCTCACGCATAGTCCCTCCCTCACGCATAGTCCCTCCCTCACGCATAGTCCCTCTCCCACGCATAGTCCCTCCCCCACGTATAATCCCTCTCCCACGCATAATCCCTCTCCCACGCATAGTCCCTCCCCCACGCATAGCCCTCCCGGGATAATCTCCTCCTTCTAACACAAACAAATCAATCAAATCAATTGATTTTTGATCAACGGGTTCATCCCGTTGCTTTTTTTCTACGCCTGTAGATATGAATTGTTGGGCTTGAGAGCCCTTCTCCCCAGACATGGCACATTTATCCCCCTCTCGATCACAGTCACTCATTGCCGGTTCTGAATTGTCGATAGTTCCTGAAACATCTCCTTCTAACACAATCAAATCAATTGATTTTTGATCAACGGGTTCATCCCGTTGCTTTTTTTCTACGCTTGTAGATATGAATTGTTGGGTTTGAGAGCCCTTCTCCCCAGACATGCCACATCTATCCCCCTCTCGATTGCAGTCACTCATTGTCGGTTCTGAATTGTCGATAGTTCCTGAAGCTACTACTTTCTCAGCTTGTATCTTTTTCAGTCGTGATATCAACAAACCCTTCCGACTTCCCTTTGTTTTTGTGTCGTCTGAGCGAACATTTTCATTCGAAGTGGAAGATGTAGAAAAAAAGAGGCTTTGTTGTGCGGAAACTGGAACCCTCGTAAGTCGAAAGCGCAGTGATTCTCTGCATAAAGGTCGAGCCATAGTCCTGCATGGCCTGCAATATGAATATGTTTATGTTTGTTCGCCCAATGTTACACATTGAAAATGTTCTGAATCATCCCATTGGATAAGAGTCTTTACACAAGATGTGAAATCATATGGCTCCATTCTTCGACTTTCTGAATTTATATTATAAATGCATTTGTTAAAATAACACTTCTTATATATCAACTATATTTTTGGCGGCCGCGTATAAAGAAACTTTGATACTTGTCTTTTTGATAAATTAGCTATTGGATCCCGTGACCATTCTTTCAAGAAAACCCGCCTCCTCACAATGGAAAGATCGTGACGCTCAGGAAGGATTGCAATTGACAGTACCGGAGAAAATCGTCAAGGGGCAACCGCACTTGGGAAAATCGGCCTGGATTTAACGACATATATCCCAAAATCCGGTCCATTATCGATCCCGTTTATGTCGTGGCTGACCTTGAAATGTTCCACGCACAACGTTTGTATTATACTGATATATGTTGTGTCTGAGTTTGGGACTTGTCCCTTCTTATATCGAAAGTTTCTTATATCGAAGGGTTCTTATATCGAGAGCCACTTGTATTGATAATAATGCTTTTTGTGCTATCCCAGTACCAATTACTTTGTATGCATACATCACCTAATCGATATCTGAAAGCGCGTCCACTAGCATGCCATGCCTCATGAACATCATCCTAATATGAACATGTTGAATCGCCAGGATTATATACATGTCGAGGTAATAATAGTGAATTCACTTCACACTTAACTGTACAACGTCGATTATTATGAAACTGCAACACTTTGAGACTACAACTTGTTCGCTATTTTTCTTAGTAAAATTGAAGATGTATTGTCCAATTGCTCTAGCCAATTATCATTCGACCATTTCCACATCTGTGTTCCAACGTGTTATTTTCTTGCAGTTTATAAACTTGTTTTCTTGTTTGTTTTACGTTTTATACGACGCGTTTTGTGCTAAAATTGGTAGAGATATGCGGGCAGGAAGTTATAAAACTGGCAACTTTTTTCGTCGCACACTATAACACTAAGGGATCGCTCAATATGACGGAACCCAATTATCACTAATTAAATGGTCTTGGTATATCGGAGATTATTAGCAATCTCTCGATAAAGCCTGTAACGAATGCTAATACAAATGTACTACAGATGAAACCTATTTAGCCGGTCTCGTGTTTTCAAATGGACGTACTAGTACTAGGACTAATCAATTTTGCCAATAGATAGCCTTTTCCGATGTGTAGATAGATACGACTCATAAATTGCCAAGCTAAAGCTTACTAACACTATTATTTATAACACACTTCAGGATTTTATCTCCTAGCTTCAATTTTTCAATATTTAAATCACGAAAAGAAATACTGACTTACGAAATGAAACCTTACCAGTGAAATGATATGTGTTGAATCGATCCGAAACAACATACGAATTATTTGTTTTATTTTCCACGAGGACAATCGTAGCGAAACAGGTATACATTAAAATTCATTTGCCATATATCATAGGAAAAGTCAAAGAAGTGCTCGTTTCGGCATCGAGTATTTGTCAACCATTTCGTAGTCAGCTACGACACAAATAAAGTTTCATCGTCAACCGAATAACACATTGCAGATTAAAGCATCAAACGCTATGTTATGCAATAGTTGAGTAATCATAAAGAACACTTTTAAATGGTAAGAATAATTATGTTAGTCAATTCGCATTATCTACAAATAATTTTAAGTTTTATCGACTACCATTGTTTTGTATGAAGCAAGAGACGCATTGGACCAGGTATATATAATTAATTTTAAACTTTTAACCTGCTAAAGTGAATCCCAATGCGGTGAATTAGTTCTAAGGCTTCTATGCAAACAAGGTAGACGGGGGAAAAAAACAAAAACAAAAAACCAAGAGTCCAAGCCAAGCCAACAACGCTTCCATGATGCACAATACGGTGGCAGTTCAATCTGGCACAAAAAGTACGCAAATGGCTCATTTAAGCGCCATTGACTTATATCAAAACCCGACCAGAGTCAACAATGTTTAGGAAGTGATTTCATCCCGATTCTCTATATTACCCCAATAATATTCGCTTAAAAACCAACTTAAAATGTCTGTCAAATCTTCGATAAAACGTTTCCTGAGTTCGCTGTTCCCAACTCTGAGTTCCCTCGGCAAGTCGAGCTGAATTGCATCGATAGCATTACCATCTCTTGATCCATACTGTAGTACGGAAAAACCACCCGAAATATAGTTTTCGTCCTCAACAGGATGATGATGAACATGAGAGGGTACAGTATCGTATCCGTAACTTTGCAAGCGTCCCCCTAGCGAGAAAACTTCGCTACGGAGGAGAGTAGTAAAAGTCACCGAATCAACCATACGATTGTATAGAGCACGTATCGAAGAGCTTGACGATATTGATGGATCAGTGTTTAGAACATGAGTTGGCAATTGCAAAGTTTTGCGGGGAAGTAAGTAACCAAGCTCAACGTAATTTTCGGGATGCGCGTGCCCTATAAGAAATTGAACAACGATAAGAATGAATTAATGAATTGATCAATATGTCGGAGATAACGACGCTATAAAAGTACCATGCAGATCAATTACTAGCCCTCGTCCATAGTTTTCTTTGACCTCTTCAACTGCCCTCTTCAAAAAGTTGTGATAATCCTGCCAGACTTGCTGTGATACCGACATCTCATTAGGAGCCGTCCTGTTGGGTTCTGTACCTTCTTCGAAAGGTCTGTTAACATCGACTTTGCTACGACCGAGATTGTTGAACACGAGATATGGCCTCCTGCCGCCAAATTTTGTTACCATGCCCTTTACTAATGCTTTCCCAATCTCTAACGTGTTTATGTCATTTGAGATAATAACATTTGGAGAGTTTTTTTCCCGTGTGGGCACGTCTTTGGGGAAGATGTGACCCCCGTGGGCCACAGAGATGATCAAAGGCAAATGGCCAGGAATGTATCCCGTATAGTTGTTGAAGCCGAAGAACGAAGAGGTAGGGAAGGAGTTCCCGGCAATATTTTTGGGTTGCGCGGCCGACCCTGAACCGGTCGGTTTATTAATCAGTTGGGAATCATTGGTTACGTCTACGGTAAAGCGAGGGTATATAAGCCAAAAGCCGGCTATGAGGAATATGACAATATATATATAGCGATTTCGTGACATTTGACGATCCTCCTTGAAGGGTGGCATATCTTCTATAACTACAAGTCTGTGACTGGTTTTCCTCCGCTTTCATGGAGAAAATCAAACTCGTGGGAGCGAGAATTGACCAACAATCTGCTGGATTTATCTCTATATGGGATAATTGACACAATGTAACGTCACAAAGAATACATTAATAATTCTCGCATGAGAAATTCAAAAGCTTAAAACAAAAATAGTGGGTAGATCGACGTAATTGAATACTAATATTGGCTAATACTAATACATATTTCGTATCCTTCTATCCATCAGCAAATTGCTTAATATACTCGCTTTATACAAGAGATACACTTATACCTTTTATTTAGCAATAACCATTGTCGAGGACGGTGCTTAGGAGGAGTTACGGTACTTTAACATATGAAGGCACTAGTATACTTTCTGTTTAAGCTTGAACTTGATATTACAAAGCTTATACAAGCTTATGGAGCATGTGTATATTATGCAACAACTAACTATAGAAGCTTCATTACAATTTATAGAAATCCAAAACAAACTTGGCATAGTTATCGTCACCGATTTATGAAGTGCGAATTAATAATATCAACAATTGTTCACGCCGACCACTTTTAAACCAAACCTTATAACTGAAACGTTAATAATGCGTGACAAACATGGAAGTAAAATTCTCGAACTATTGCTAGTTCTGAATATAGTACAGGACTTTCAGACAATAAATATCAAGAAATTGAGCCTATCGAAATCATTTTATTCGTTAATATTAAGTGGTCAATAACAAGGTTAGTCCGATTAATCGGGTCGAAAACACATATCATTACATCACAATAGTTTAACCTTCGAATTTACGATTTGGATCAGAACACTTTAATGTCATATGAACACCAGGGGAATTTTGATATTAATATGGGGTATTCAAATATTGTGACTGAAGGACTAAACCATATACTAATACTGCATTTCTCATTGTTGAATTTAAATTCCTGAAGGGATATCTTTCCCTTACCCTTAACAATTTGTCGTCGGGCGCCGATTCTCTTCCTCGGTGGGAAGCGGCAATAATGAACACCGTGAGTGATATACTGTATTTTTTTCAAGCATTGTAAACTCATGTTGGCATATCGGGATGGCACCTTATCACCTTAATGACGATTGGAACAAAACATTATTTATTATTATGGATGAGACAGCATTCCTAATTATGTAGCAGTTTATAGTTTGGAAACCATTAATTGATAGATATCTGAATTAAAATTCAATTTGAATTTGGCTCACGAAGCTAACCAAAAACGTTAGATCTAACTAGGATCAGCACTACTCGGATGCTTCGAAGAAAACCTTAAAGCAACGAGTTTTTTTGTTCAGCCATTTGCTCAATTACGCAATTCCCATGTTCAATCCTTCTGGGCGATCTTGTTCGGTCGATGCAGGTGAATATAACTGTCCGTGAGTGGAATCGAGCGAATTGAAAACTGGAAAAATGTGGTTTCTAAGTTAAATATTACGACGAGTCTATTAGTGTGGATGATGGCGTGTGGCAGGCCACGTGTAATGACGAATCTAGACCAACGGTTGATGGTTTACGAAAAAAAAAGGTCTTAGCTCATTGGTTAGATTAGACGGTCTGATGTAATGTATGTCGTATATAAATTAAAATGTTAGGAACGCATTTTAATTTATTACCATATCTAAATACTCTTGATTATGTTCCCAGGAAGGTAAATGCTTCCATTTATACAGCAAGAAAACTACAGAGTGGAAGAGAAGAGAACAAATAATGTCAATAGTATTTCCTGGCCTGCCCAAAGCCCAGACATGGATCTCATAGAACATTATTTATGGGATGAATTAGAAATTGCCCGAAAATTGTGAAGATACTCCAACGGAGTGGTTACAAATTGATGAAAGTAAATACAAAATCTCGTTGATAGTATGCCACGTAGATCATAGCTATCCAACAAAATATTAATTAATAAATGAGCCAAAAAATTCTTTCTAACAATCGATTTTTATCGAAATTGTTACATTTACATAACTCGATTTGAAGAATTTCGCTACGCCCTGATTTAACAAAGTCAGAATATAATTGTTATAGCGATATAATAAATCTTCCTCATCAATGAGTATACAGGAGAACTTGGTAACACGGATATCAAAGAGGAAAGGGTGAAAGTTTACACTCTATCTGATGCGTTGTCATTCAAACACTAGATCTAAACATTGTAGCCTTCAATCAAGATACTCAAATATATCTGATTACGGAACGATAAAACGTAATAGAATGCAAAGTTTTTTGACATATTGAAAGTTAATTGGTTAAACGGATACTTTAACACCCATTTTATTAATTCTATGATATTGCCTCTAATACATTACCGTCTCAAGTGCGACGATATTTCTTTTTATTTCCGCTCTCATTAGTTTCTTCTTTCCGTTTAATTCCCTGTTTGCGTTCATCAGCTATAGAATAAAACAATAAGACATGAATCGACGCCATAAGCGTAAGAGCAACAACCTGAATTTATACCTCTTCGGGCCTTTTCTTCAAGTTCATCCCAATCGGGAGCTGAATCACTACTTTCTGTTGAAACGGAAGCCTCCGACGCCTCCTCATCATAACTACTCTCATCACTCTGAAAGACAGAATACAAGTAAGCATTGTCCATTATCAAAGAAAAACACAACTTATAGTACTATCCACTTACAGAACTGTCACCATAGTCATCGTCACTCGGCATAAATTCACTGGCATCATCGGAAGACATGTCTGAACCTTCATTCTGAACCACAAGGAAAAATAACGACATGTTAGTATTCAATGCCACAACTTAGGATCCCGCACTCGAACTTAAAGTTTAAAAACGACTCACTTCACTATCTGGCTGGAGGAATGCCCAGCCTTTTCCTTTGAAAAATCCAGCGGGATCAGCATTTATTGTTCTCATGATTTTCGACCAGTCGAGATTTACTGACCCTTCAGTGAATGATACATCGACGTTACTAATATCGAGAGCTAATTAATATCAAGGGAAAACTCGGTCGATTAAAATCGAATGCAAACCATACATACTCTAACCATTCCTTGACATTTTCTAGTTGTTCCATCGGTATGGTATTAATGTGTACCGGAGTTCGGGAGTAGTCTTTGAATACAAAGACCATATCAAAGTTCCGTAGGCCGTACTAAATCGTATAGGCAATCACTTAGCATTTCAGAATACGTGTTATCACAAGATCTCGAGCGTTGCTTACCTGTACACGTTCTAAATGTGCGACCTCGATGTCAGCAATTGTTATTACCAAAAACGGAGGATCAGTCAGATGGACCAAGCACTCAAGCGTTGGCTGCAATAGGACGTTGGTTCTGAAAGGAACTCCGCTAAATCCAAGCTCTCTGAATGGTATGTCAACCTCTACACGCCCTTCGCTCTATACAACAAAAGGGGACGTCAGTTAGTTCTTTCAATAATAATCATATGTAGTGCACGCATACTTACTGCCTCGGCAATCTTCTCAGCAAACATTTTAAACTCTTTATTAAGGAGCGCACGTCTTCTACGCTCTTCCTGTTCAGCTCCGAGTTCATCTTCGTCCCCATATCTATATCTTCGTTTACGATTAGTGGTTTCATCAAATTGCACATCAGCTGCCTCACGATAGAATTGTATGTCCTATAGACAATAAACTGTCAGTAGAAATACATAAGATGAAGATGACATTGTTGATTAGACATACTTTCGTCTTCTTCTTGCCAATAATGATAGGATTCTTTAGGTGTATATGTAGTATGACAATAAGTTCATTGTCGCAAGGTTGAAAAAATAAATGCTTGATGTTGCCAAAAAGTATATCTAAGAATTGATCAAAGTGTCATTATAATGTGCAGAAGCGATCTTAGGCAAATATATGTCAATTGACCTATTTTTTGTGAGCTCCGGCTTGATTGATATCTTAAACCGTTCTGGTGTATCTCGAGCTCGCCAACATTACGCTTCCCTTCCATCACCGGTCTAGCATACACCTCAGACAGTCGTTGTGGTCTACGACCTGCATAATACATATAAATATTAGAGATTTCATCGAAAAATACGTCCATCATACAAAGACTCACTTACCCTTAACTTCCATCAATTTATCTTGTTCTATTATGTCTGCCATCTCTTTTCGTTCAACTTCCCTAAACACAACAAGTAAGCATTCGTTCATGTTGTCAATATCATCACCTCCAATCTAATACGCACTTTTTGGTCGCAGTTTTTTTAAGATCAAGAATCTTTTTGTATATTTCCGATAAATACAGATCAGTGCTTCGATATGTGACAGCTCTTACAAAATTGGCGTTTGGATCATCGAATGGCTGAGTATGGCAAAAAACAACAACAAAAGAAACTATTACAGCTTGTCCAAAATAACTCTGTAAATGCAAGAATCTCCTTTACTAGATCGATAAGCTTACCATATCTTCTTTTTTGCCCGTTGCTTGCCCAGGCGTAAGAAAGTTGAGACGAAGATAGACGTATTCGCCTTCTTCAGTCTTGGTTGCATTCTTCAATGCTGAAATATGGAAGGGTACAGCAAAGCCAAAAATAGGTAATACAATCGTCTCGTTCTTTAGATCGACAACAATCTGCAATTACACGTCAGTAAGTTGGCCGTTTCACTATCTACATGGTAAATATACACTTTCCCCCCCCAAACAAATACGTTGTCTTAAATCTAAATCGACTTGCCTTCAGATCTTTAACCTCTTTGGGTAAGGCAGTATCTCTCTTGTAGCTTTCAAATTTACGAAAGACGGCTTGTCGTTGACTAGATTGCTGATCGACACCGTCAGCAAACCTGGCGATGCCCTCTGCTTGTTTCTGGATAGCCAATTCCTTTTGATGTCGTTTACGTCTTTGTTCCGGTGTTTCTTCTCCCTGCATAAATTTCATTAATATTGATACCAGTGGTCGATGATTCGTTCAAACTAAACTTTAAATAACGTCACACCTGTTCTTCACTACGAAACTTGGTTTTCAACACAGCACTCTGTTTAGATTGTGGTTTTTTAGGTTCCGGCCGTTTAGTTTTTCGCTTATTTTCGGTGTCATTTTGTTCCTTGGCTTCATCGTCCTATAATTTTCAAAGAACATAGCAATGTCACTGATAAATCACCAAACACCATCTTTGCGATAATTCAATCCCAATTTAACGCTTCTTCGACGTAGTAATTAGCATGTAATCGTACACTTACACTGAAATAATAACAAACGTCATTTAGCTTCTTTTTTACATCTGTTAACATGACAGGTGTATCATTCGTAACCCTGATTGTATCTATAAGCAACAGTGCATATCTGCAAAAAATCAACAGGAACAGCCAGGTCAGTGTTTACATCCAAAGTTAGAATATCCATTATAACTAATAGCATTTTACATCTTGCTTTCTTCATCCTTTGCCTCTGGATTGGATAGATCTTGAAAGCCAATAGATAAGTTCAGTATCATTCCATTCTTCAGCTCCTGCGTATTCTTAGCATTTAATAGATATTGAGATTCACGAAATTCTATCCCAATCTACGAAAATATTAGTTAAAGTAGTTAGCCAGCACGAACAGCGTCTATAGTATTAACATTAGCGTTAGGAAACTAGGTGCTAACATACACTAGATCCGATATTTTTGACAAAATGCTTTACGAGATCCGGTCGTTTATTACGGACGTATACTAAAGCTTTGCTATAAACGTCCCGAATTTTTACCCCATCTCTTATTGTTGACAAAATTCGGCGCTGTAGCTCTAAGAGAAAATTATAGTTGTTCTCTTGCTCCTAATATCATGAATGGTGACGTTGTTAATGAAAATTTGTTACTATGTCATACGGCAAAACTGTTCGATTTTACATTACCTTATTTGGCTCGATAATGATGGTGCGCCCAATATTAGAACAGTAAGATCTGTATCTTACGCCCAACGAGCAAAGGATAGTGCCTGAATGTAATATATTGGAATTTGAGCTGGCTGAAGGTCGAAGATCGTAGACACCGCCGCTTTGAATGATCGGTTGATAGCACCATTCCAACCGGTTTGCATCAATCTAGAACAAAGAGGGTGAGCATGTTGTATTACTTCAGTATTAAACAAATATTCTGGCATGTCTCCATAAACAATAATTGTTTATTACATTTTGTAATAATGATCGGTGCTCTTTCCAGACTTTTGCGTCGTTGATAATGTTATCAATGTCCTCTGCAAGCTTTTCGTGTGTCATTTTTTTATCATCATCAATGGTTCCCGACAGCATTTCAATAGCTCGTTTCATGAAAATTGATGTAACCTTACAAGCTGAACGCATTGCGCCCTTGAAAAAATTTCAAAAGTTACAATCAGCCTGATGAAAGCCATTTGCAGATAATAACTAAATAGAGAATAAGACACACCTGTTCGTCTTCATCTTTTATAGCGAGAAGGGATGCCAGCCTGAGGCTTACGTCTACTTCATGGAAGTTGCTTTTGTTAGATTCATAAACTGCTTGCCAATCTTGAACAAATGTCCCTGAAAATTTATCTTTTGGCAAGATTCCAACGCGTTTCTAGGAAATAAAAATAAAATTTAGACACAAAATTTACATTCATTATAATTGATTCAGTAAACTATACCTCTTCAGTTGACTTGATAATGTTGACAACATTCTCAAAAAGTGTCCGATCTTTCTCTAGATTTTTCGAGCGTGCATAAATCTCAATAGGTATAGATTTCTCTGTTTGTTTCAGTTCTTCCAAACGAGCAACTGTACAACGATTTAACAGGTTGGGCTTAGTCAATTCAGTGGAAAGACATCACAACTAGATCGATCAAGGTTGTATACCATTAGACTCTCCGGTTATTATATGAAATGTATCATGCGTAATGAGAATGAGCATGTCATTACATTCGTCACCAAATAGCCATTGCTACAGGGCCATAAATGAAATGAGTGTTGGCACAAACGTAACGCATAATGTTGCATGCTTGACAGTTTACCTGAACAGCAGACGATTTTTGGTATGGGTTAGCGTCACTCAAATTGCCTATGACTATGAGGATTACGTCTGCACTCTGAAACAGATTTTCTCCCTCGCTCTTATTCTGTGCCTAGAAAATCAAGACATCTTAAGTAGCCTGCCTGATATTTTAGCGAATTTAGAAGAATTCCATGTGTCCATACAAAGTCCAATTCATCATTGTGAGACACATTTCGTTGAAATACTGGAACACGCGTCGATTGAACAAGAAAACTAAGAAACGACACGAGAATCCCAATTCACTATTTAAGGGGGGGAGTTTCTTAAACTTACCTTCCAAGCTGATAGTATGCTTCGTGCTCTCTTATTAAAAGACTTGGCGTCAATTACAATTTCGATATCAGTTTTCTCGTCGGACATGTCGTTGCAAAGTGTTATTAATATTAGGTCCAAAGTTTTTTACGTGTTGACTTCGTCACCGTATCTCTTACATTGTGAATGTGCATGCCGCAGTACTTGGCATGTCGAATCGAATTGTGACCTCACCCAAACGTCATAAAATTACAAAATGTGATGTCTAGATCTTTATCCTAATTTGTATCGTAATGCTTTTAAAGTCAATCTCCACATGGAAAGTACAAGGACATGGGTTGATACACATTCTTTGACTCAGCAAAGGGCCTGAAAGAGAAAACCTATCAAAACAAAACTGCACTATATAGAAGGGAGACACTCTCGCGCCTTACTCGTTAAATCTCTTGGGGAATTACCCTTTGATGTAGTAATAGGACAAAAATGGCTATTACTATACAAACAGTACTATCTACACCAGATTAGAAAAGTCTTGAAATGCAAATTACTAAACCCAATCTGATGATATCCAATAGGATTGAAGCCTTCCTTAATCCAGCAACGTTGTACGCTTACTGCCTGTATGCGACGTAACAATTTTCATTTATATCTACAAGAAAAAAGTGTTATTTAAAAGTTTTTTCTCGAAGTTTTGCAAGAAAATATAAACACTCCGACTATTTGATCAGAGACTTATCCGGGCATGCATCCAAGCATTATTCATACGTCAGAGCTTTTAATATCGAGTCGATGCAAATTCTATCAAAGCGCTAAATTGGAATACACATTTAGACGCAATTGTAGTAATCGATATTTTGTAGTAGTATCAAGTTTTGGGCGTAAATAAACCGTGAATAAACCGTAAATAAACCTAAAGATCTGAAGCATTGCATAGAGGAAAGCCAGATAATTAAAAGTTACTGATCATTACTCAATCAATCTGTAAATCAATAAATGAGCATAGCAGGAGCAAAACGACCGCAACCATAATTAGAATTTTATTTACAGTAGTAATATTACACGCGTCTGTTTTTATTTTCGATCCCTAATGTTCATTGTTGAAACTGGATGCAATGCCCTAACTAATCATCCTCGTGTATTTTTAATCACCACTCCCGTTGGTATGTAGGGCAAATACTGTATTACACACCTACCGAAAATAGTAAACTTTGTCTCACGTGTTTCAACTGCCTCATCTGATGCGAAAATTCATCGAAAAGAGCAGGTTTTTTTGGCACCCTTCAAGCATGTTACGCACACGCACTGCTGCCTATCTACGTCAAAACGTCCTTAATACTGTATGTCGGCGACATGCATCAAGTGCATCCGCTTTATCAGTCACTAACCTCCAGAGTCGCTGGAAATCGCTGACTGATGGAGAACGAACCACTATCACAGACCAACTTCGCGAGCGCCAGAAAGGGGATTGGAAAGATCTCTCATTGGAGGAAAAGAAAGCCGGTAAGTCATATATATACACACAATGTTCCAGCATGCAAGTTTTTTTTATAAATTTGGACACTGGACTCGCTGAATAAATACTAAACAATTACCTCAAAACATATTTTAGCTTACTTTGTTGCTTTTGGCCCCTATGGTCCCAGAGAACCTTTCCTGAAAACAGGTCACGGACGTAATTTAATTCTTGGCATAGCTATTGCTATTGGCGTCAGCACTGGATTATACGCTCTTAGTCGTGCTGTTGGTATGTTTTTGGGCATGAATACGGGTGTTTTCCCAAATCTACGACATTTACTAATTTCTGTTTGTCAAAGTTCCCGGAAAGCCGAGGACCCTGACCAAAGAATGGGAAGAAGCTACCAACGAGCGGGCGAAGGAAAACAAGATCAATCCTATTACTGGCGTTTCTTCCGAAAATTATAGTGGACCCGGTTATGTCCAGTCGAAGTAGAAAAAACTACAGCTTTATGGATTCTAACGCTATATTCACATTCTGTTATAATACAATTAGTGTAAAATAAAAAGTCCGTTTGTTTTAAACTTATATAATATATGTATATATATTAGTTGCAATTTTGATCACGACTCACAATAGAACTCACAATTAATTTCACGTTATAACCAAAAAAGAATTTTCAGGTGATTGATTCACATGACCGGACTCCGAGATTCCTTCTAACCGAGCCGTTTCTTCACGTAGGAGAATTCATCGGAATCGGTCGTCGTCATCAGAATTAGGGTAATTTGGTAACGTCTCCTCCCGATAAACCCCCTAAAAAGTCCATCTACATTATAATTAGCAGACGATTGCCTCTTCCGACAAAGGTAATTAATTGCTTTGCGAATCGGCTTCTCACCACCCAGAGTTCTTTTAACGGTTTGTAGCTAGTTTTACAGAGATCGTGAATGGATTTATTTTTTTGCGATTATTATTATATTATACTGTATATGCATTATTCATTATCTAAATATAATTGACTGTGTAATCCAGATTGCCAGTGCACGTTGAAAATAAATAAGCCTGATAAGGACACTTTTTCTTTGCATTACATGATAAGAAATTTATTATTAACTGTTAATCAGTTACAAATTTAGCTTTAAACATATTATTATTTATTATACATGATTTTTGATGAATAACCTTATTGTCGATATTTCATTAAAATATCAATCATGTTTCGCAGCACCATGTTGTTGAATCTTCATCAATGCAGGTACTTCTTCTGGGTGCTACAAAGAACATGAAATAAGAGTCTTGATAAAAGAATCTCACGAAGTTTTTGTGGTGTTGAGCGTTTATGACCACAACGTTTACAGATTGTATTTTTCTTATCACTTCTTGTTTTCTAACCATGGTGTTAGCTCTAACCGTCGCGCTATTCCTTGCCTATAAAATTTTTCTTTAATTAATAATTTCCTATACTAATACTCTTTACTTTTCAATCATAGGATTGCTACTGAAGATAAGTATTTACAAGGTTTCCAAAGCGATTCTAGCCATTGCAAAACTGAAGCATTAACTGATTACTATTAATCTTTTTCGAATCTAGTGATAAAAAAGTAAACATTCGTGCCCAACTCCGGAAGGGTGCCGTTTCCATTGGAAAGCTAAAAAACGGTATCATGCTCTAGTTGCGGTAAACCTACCTCTTCTGCTTGTGGCCAATGCCCGTTACATATTAGAGGCTATTACGTTACCCAATACTATAAAAATATGTTATTTATTAAGCTAAATCGTTCCTAATACACAATTTTTTGTTAGACTTATGATGGAGGAATTGACAGACTTATTTTTTTTTTGTTAGACTTAATAAAATATGCTATTTAATGAGCTAACTGGCGCAAAGCCATTTCCTGATATATTAATTTCGTTAGAGTTAATAAATATAACCAAAAAGTTGATATAGAAATTAAGAATCTGGAGCTCTTAGAAGCTTTTCTAATATAATAATAATCGGTAAAGTTCCTGAAGCTCCAGAGACCCCAAACACACATTGTGTCAATATATTGGATTTCCAGTAGGTGTTTCAAGTACCTATGCTTAGCCTCAACATTATGCTCTCATGATTTATATTTCACTGTGGCCAGTAATTCATACCAGAGATAGCCCTCTGGAACCATCATGTCCAAGAGTCAACCCTTGGGAGTTTGCTAGCTCACCCAATTTTGAACTTTTTAATAGTTGGGACTGGTACCAAGCAGGAGTACCATCTGTCAGTATATTTGAAACTTGTGCTCTGTTTGATGATTTCCTTCCTAACAAGCAATTCATCTTTCTTGTAGTAGTAGAGGTGAAATCTTTCTGAAGCAAGTGCACATCAGTGAGTGTTACAGCACCAGACTCGACACAGGTGGAGGAAATGCTATTAAATAAAAGCATGCAATATTTTCGTCAAGATGTCAGCTAATAAGCAGCCATTTTTGAAATAATCTTTTCTTTATTGATTCGGTACATCACCAATTCACAATGGAATAGATAACATTTTTGATATTGTAAATCAGAGATGCTACTTACAAGAATAGCCGCCAGTGATATGATGAAGCAAAATATTTTAAGCAAATCAGATTTCCATTGAAAAATATGAAGACAATAAAACGTACAAAGACCTAAAAGAATACTATAAAAGAAAAAAAAAAGATAATAAAGTACAAAGAATAACCCGACACAAATAAGAAGATAAGGAGAGGAAGTCAATTCAAAAATTTGAGAATGCTATTTTTACAAATACAAATGATTTTCTGATCGCGTGAAAGCATCGCTCGAGAAAACGTAAGTGAACCTCCCACTTCTCCATCAGGGTCAGGTTAAAGAATGAGAAATCGATGTTACAGACTAGTTACCGTAAAGAAAAAAAAAAAAGAAGATAAAACAAAAATACAATAGAATAGAAAAAGTTTACAACAAAGGATAAAATGCACGAGTAAAGTTTAGGTTTGCACGATGTAATAATGTAACAAATCACTTACAAGAGCTATTTTTACATAAAATGTGAAACACCTTCGTCCATACATACGTCTAATCTTCCCCACCTTGCGAGTCTACAGCATCTCTCGCCAAAAACGAAATCAAACAAAAATACAATATATCAAATGCAGAAACTCTAATACTACGCTCGCTCTTCTATTCACAATCCCCTCCAAAACTAATGTGTAACAAATAATGTTGCAAATGTTTTTACATGTAAGGATGATAATTCTGTGTAAATTCGTTCAATCCAATGACGCCCATATTCCCGAACTGACTCAGCCCATTAAATGGGAAACCGAGCATATTGTTCATATTGATAGAATTCATAGCTTGCATTTGCTGATCCCGATGCAGTTTTCCTTGGATGCGTTTGCCATAAGGCGTATTACGAACGGCGGGTAACAAAGGTTTAATGCAGTCCACCAATTCAGCACGTTGTACAGGGTCCGCGTAATCCAAAGATGTCTGCACAACATAATTGGCATAGCAATCTCTCAGAAGTTTCTCAAGACTGATTTTGTTAAGCATCTCTTCAACAAGAAGTCTTCGTGTATCCGGTTGTGCAACTCTAATACACTACAGATAAAAATCGTATATGTAAAATCACTCGAAAATTTTTTCTTTCTCTTTAATATTGCTT